CCCTCTGCCTATTTCTGGAGCCAGGGGGCTGCAGGCAGCCCTCCACCCCAGCCCTGCCCACAGCCCACAGGCAGCCGCCTCTCGTGCCTGCCCGGCTTTCATCTGGCCGAGTCCTTCAGCGGTCCCATTTAATACAAAAAGTGAACAAGATCTGAACACAATGTCAATTAGACAGCAGGAGGTCTGTTAGCTCAGTAAGATAAATCTATCAACTTTCTAGGGAGAGTGGAGGCATGCTTTCCACAGACAGCAAAGATTACTTTGCTTTCTGCACTCTCTCTCCCCACCTGATATCCACAAAACCATCCATAATTCACATTTTTTTAAACTAACCCGAGGCAAAAACTATCTTATTCCTACAATGTTAGCTCTTCCTCTGGCAAAGCTGTACAAACAAGCACCCTGGGTATTGCTCCCGTTTTTTCCAATTTATCACACCTCATAAAAGAGCTCAATCATTTCTTTCATTTATCTGTTATAAAGGGAGGCTGACAATAATTCATTCATGACTCCTAAGTCTGTGTAGGAAGGCAAGAGGATGCACCTGCTGCATTCTGGAGACTGGTGAGAGGACAGAAGAGTCAGACCACTGCAGACTGCATCAAGCAGGCCCAGTAACCCAGTGCCAGCAATTGCCACTTCCTGACACCTGTTACACACTGACCCTCTGGTATCTAACCGAGGAACTTCATAAAGTAGCCACACATAAGAAGTCAGGTCTCGTAGGGTTAGGACCCCAGAAACACTGTCAAAAGGGGAACGCTGGCTTACATTCCATCCCTAACACAATTCATTTTCAAGGGCCAGCCCTTGTTGCACAACCCACGTGCAAAGGCACCGCGCTCTTCTGGACAAAAACTTGTGCAAAACCACCATCTCCTGTACACCTCCATGGCCCAACGTTTCCCTACATGACTGTCATGGAAAGCCCTACAACACACAGGTATTTCTGCAACTCATGACAGTGCCATTATGGCTGTGGTTTTAAATATACACTAAAAACCTGTCTCCAGGGACCTGGGAATGCAACTTTCGCATTTGCCAAGCACTGCAATTTTTGTTTGAAATAGCCATGTGACTCCCACAAACATGATCATAAGTCATAAGGTTCAAAGCCTTCCTAGCTCTTTGAAAGCATATATATTTCATTTTAAATGGCATGCAAGGACATACAGAAAAAACAAAGCACAAACAACCCCACCCTTCCCATCCCCCAAACCTGGCAATGCTGTGCACCTCCTTGCAAAAACCAGCAATAGAAGGGGACTGTAGACTATCAGTGCTGTTCTGGTTGGTCTTGCACTATACTTTGGTAAATGCTCAATATGTCCTACATGCAACAAAAAGATGTCTCTTACATGAGGTCAGGTCTGAAGCGATGGATAATTGCACACAACGCAAGGCCACTTTTCCAGGAGGTAGTCAGGTCAGTGACATTAACGTTACGGTACCCTTCTGTCTGTTTCTGACACCAGGTCAAAAGCTTGTTAGGTCGACTATCTGACTCTGCAGTTACAGTGGAGAGCAAACATTTCAATCAGTTTTTGTATGCTCAGAAGGCTCCAAGTATTAAGCCACAGCAAACATGAGATGTCACATACCATGTCTTGAGAGATTCACTGATCTTCTAATGGAGCTTACTCTTTCAAGAGGACATTGTTGTAACTCATTGGTAACATATAATTGTCTCACCTACAAGTAAAAGCGATTGGCAGTACAATGTTAGAATTGCTTGAAGACAAAAAAAAAGTTTTATTTCTAGGTTAACTTTATCAACAGTTGGATCTAAATTAAGGAGTCTCCTGAAGATTTTGTTTATGCGCTACTTGTGGCCTTATTTCTTCTGGACAAAAAAATGAACTGTCATTTCACAAGCAAGACTTTTAAATACTGACCTGGTGAGGTCGAACACAGCTTGAGTTCAAGTTCGGGTATCTTGTTCCCGGGTCAATGGTATACTGCTCAAAGTTCTTGTTAATATTTTCAGGGGTAGTCTGAGGCAAGAGTCGATAAATACTCTCTCTTACCAAGAAAAAAAGATGCAATAGATATTGATTAAAATAAATATTTATTATATAAGGAGGGTTGGTGTTGTGTTTTTTTTTTTTTTTTTTGCAACTACCTGCACCTTATTTTGATTCTGCCAGGACAAGTGTTATGCACTAAATCCATAATGCATCCATCCCATTTCTTAACGCCACTCAGCAGAAGGATGCCAGACAGAAAAAGGACAACAAAAAGACAGACTCTTAGAACTTATGCCCATATTTTCCTGAGGCAGGAAGCAAGCAAGGGGGGGTGGGGGTGAGGGGGTGG